TATATATTATATATTATGATTTTTATATAGCATATATCATGTATTATAATATATAACATTATATATGATAATAGAATACATTATATTAATATATGGATGTGTTATATTTTAAATTATAATTATAAATCATATTGTAAATTATAATGATAATATATATTATAAATTAATATAAATGATTAGGCAATTGCTTAGCAATTATTGGGCATATTTCCTAAGGTGGGCCTGTTTTTAATAATTTGTGGGTATTAATTCTGTCCTCCCAGGAGTCCTATACTAGTCTTGTTATTTTCCCCAATTAATATATGAGAGAGCCAAGTCCCAAAATGTCTAAATAAGGGGCCTAAGTTTAAATGATGAACTAACATTGGAGCTAGGATATGAATTAAGTCAGCCTAGCTCCAGAGTCTGCACTCCACTTAGGGAGTATGACTCTCATACTTAGGGACAATTTATAGATCATAGTTTATTTTATTCTATTTTATTTTTTACTGACATGGGATTTTTCACATCAAGATATAAATATATTGAAAGAAAACAAGTACAAAATGCTATTTATCCTACAGTTCTTTTAGGTTTTAAAAATGTGTATGTACATCTGCTTGCATGTATGTGCATACATGTGTGCTTGTACATATATATTATGTAAATGTATTTTAAAGGTCTGACAGATAAACATTAACTAGGTGCCAACCATTTTTACTAGGGCAGGAAACGAAAGGAAACTTTCAATTTGTACTCAGTATGCACACACTATACATATGTATGGCTTGGATCTTTGATATGATACTGTATTCATATGCTGCTTTTGTACTTCAAAAATATCAAAAAAATATTGAAGGAAAAGCTGCTATGCTTATTCAATGGTAGTTCAAGAAGTGACTGCTCGCTCAAAGCACATAAGTGATATAGTGTAGCTGTTACAATTTGATATACATATTTATATAGAATTATAAAGTTAAAGCATTTCATGGAATTATAGATACCATGTAATATAAAACTAAGAGAGTTTCTGTGATGTACAGATTGTTAATAATAGATTACTGATTAGAACCTATATTTCATGATAACCTATGCTTAGCATTTCTTCTGTTATTTTTTATTTATTTTTTTTTTAGGGAGAGAGAGAGGTTTTTTGCTATAGGGTATGTGTGCTCGCCAGAGAGACAGAGAAAGACAGAAAGACAAAAAGCTAGAAATCATCCCGAGGGAGATGGCCACATAGCAATCCTTTATCCATTTTCCTCTTGGGATATTGGGCACACTCACACATTCGCCCGTCGGGAATTTCCAGCCGCTGAGTCCAGAACTCGAACCAGGGTTGGCCATGTGGGAGTCCAGTGTTGTAACCATTATGCCACCTGGTGGTCTCCTATTACATTCTTAGAATATTATACAAATTTCCTCTATAATAATCTGAATACTAAGGTCTTCTGTTTTTCTCAATAAATACCTATAAATGCTTATAAAATAATTTTCTCTTGGAGGCGCTTGTGATTCTAGACCAATTAATTTCATATTGCTTATGCTCCTGATCCTGTAATAAATAAAATTTCATACTGACTGGAAATGAACTATACTTTAAGTGAGATATAGAAATATGAGTTTTTTCTTCTCTATGTAGTTTGAACTTTGAATACTTTTATTTGTGGATACAACAGCATTGTATCTAAATGACCTTAATATAGTATAATGTACAAGTATAACTCAGTATATATGAGATGTACAACTTCCGGGAAACATTTAGAAGGATTTACAAAATGAAGGGATATGGAAAATCTTCTAAGTGAAGAACTGTGTTTGTTAATCCTTTCTGAATAGTGACTAATGGTGTTACAGTTTTTACTAAATAGTTGTCTATTAAGAAATAGTGTTATAAAATTCATTGATGTAATATTGGTCACATTTTCATTATTGTTCTCTGATTATCAGGATGTTACTGAAAGTGCTTCTGATCCAGTACTTGATCTGCATATGTCCTTAGAGGAACTATACACCCAAAATTACCTACAAAGACAAGAGGAAAATTCACCCACAGTAGACTTGAACATGGGGCCTGCTTCTGGCTTTACCATAAATGATTTTACACCTGAAAATACTACTGAACAACCATATGAGTGTGAAAACACAATTGTGTGGACTGAATCTCAGTTACCAAGTGAAGTTACATCAAATGCAGAACTTACTTCTCCCGAGCGACCCGATTCAACCGGAAAGGTAGTATTTGAAGGATAGGGTTTGTGTATTATGATGAAGTAGAGGTCAGCAGAGGGTTAGAATATTCTTGGCTAATCTCTTCATTTGGGATGAGTGTTCTCTGATGCTGAAATTTTCAGACAGCAACCTATGGACTTGTTTTGATTACAAATTCTTGCTGAGTATAGCACAACCAATTAGAGAATGTGTGTGATGTTGAAATCATGCTCCAAAGTCTAGTTTTACTTCCCATGTGACTTTTTTCTTTTTTCTTTTTCTTTCAGGGCTCTGAGTACTTAATGGAACAGAGCTCCTTGACCTCTAATGCTGAGTGTGTCATGCTCCCAAATATACCCAAAGGATCATTTGAGAAGACTATTACTATAGCAAAAGGCAATTCTAGCCTCGGTAAGTTCCTCATTTTCTGCATACACCTACTCCTCCAGCCCCTTTACAGAGGAAAATTATGAACAAGGTAGATAGCAATACTTTTTGCTGTAGACAAGAAAAGAGATATTAAAAATTTTTCTGTAGTTTTTAGATTTTCTATTTATATGCTCATTATTTTTTCCTGAAATGGTTAATAAGTATATTTACTTTGTCCTTGTTTATACCCCTCGTTCTCTTAATTATTTCAAAGTAGTCACAAACTCATTTGCATTCAAGCAAAAAAATGAATTATTTGTGTATGAAATAGCAAATCAGAAAAGGAACCCCTAGAAAATGAAAAGTCAGCAATTTGGAATTTGAAATTCTTTGAGAAAGTAAATCATTGGTTTCTTTCAGTGTTACCAGTTATGCATAAGTCAGTTTGTATTTACTTTTTTTCATTCACTGAAATAATGACTGAAAAGCCGGACAGGTGTGCTGCCACCAAAGTATAAATGCAAGTTATTCAGTAGTTCTTCCCACATGACAGGATTTTTGTGTGTTCGGTTAGCCATAATGTATTTCAGCTGGTTAATAACTACAAAACCCTCTGAATGGGAGTTCAAAGAAAACATCCTGGGGAAATAAAATGCTAATTACAATAACTGAAAAATTGTGTCTTGACAAAGCACATTTGTTCTCGCATTGAGTTAAGCAGTCATGTGACTGACTGAGCCCTGTCCCTGATGCTTGGTATGGGTAAACAGGAGGATTTGTCAGTTGATCTGAATGTTCAAGTGTAGCCCAAGGCTCTCTGGGTGGCGCTACATCAGAGATCTATTCCTGCAATGAAGTATCCAACCAGTACCCTTTCTCTGACATTTTATAGTGGGGTCTTCCCCTTAAATTTGAGACATGGCATAGAAATTCAGCAGTTCTTACTGGATGAGTGGGATTCTAGACTCTGTCTCTTAGATTTTCTTTCATATGATTGTGGCCAGATCTACCAACAGCACCTAAATAGAGATGTATAACAGAACATTTGTACTTGGTGGTGTAATATTTCTCATGCCTGCATTTAGTAGAATAATATTAAATGTAAAAATTCTAAGCTTCAGGACTTTCCATGACTAATTAGATTAGGATTAGAGATATTTATTTAGGCTACATTGAAATTATTTAATCTGTTAATGAAGTGTATCTGAAACCATGTTACTCAGAATAACAATTTATATGACGTTATTAGGACTTATACATGGATTCCAAGTTTAAAAGTTTGGGATGTTTTAAGTTTAACAAGATAGATTTCTGTTTGTATTACTTCTCAATATCTTTGATATCACAGTGCACATTGTGGATCTTAAAGAAAATATTGGATGTAACATTTCTCACATTTAATTGGCCATAGGACTCATTTTTCATTGAGCAGCTCTTAAAATAGATTTTATAAAGTCCATTAGAGAAATCCTTTTCTAGTATATTTATTTAGTCAAGTACCAAACATTTTTTGTTTTCTATATTCTAACTACATGCATACATAACATAATATTGTGTCATCAGAAAAGTCACAACTTTTTCTCCGTGTTTTTCTATGCAAAATGCATCATGACTTTTCCTACCACCCAATGTAATCATGATTCTCAAGTAACATGAATTGAAGAGAGTAGGCTAATCAACACGTAAAATTCTAAAGGCGTTAAAATACTATTTGTGCTGTGACAGATACTTGGATAAGGAACATTGGCCTAAAAGAGAGACTAGTTAATCCCTACTCTCTGAATGTGGAGGAGTTTAGGAAGGTTTCAGAGGGGAAGAGGTGTTTGATTTAGATCTTAAAGTAAAAGCAGCTGTACCTCATCGCTGAGGAATCAGAACAAGATGGGTGACAATAGAGCTAAGGCAGAGAGATGTGAAACTGCCTTAAGCGATGTAGACGCAGAAGGGTAAGGTGATCAGGTTTGTGTTTTAGAAGTTCGTTCTGGCATAGGTTGAGGAATTCGATTGGAGTAGTTGGGAATTCGGAATTAGTAGCTAGTAGTTAGGCTGTCTCATAAAAACCATGGTTTCAGTACTCTTGATTTTACAATCTGACCATTTGGATTGCTTGCCTGTTTTTAGTTTTCTGAAAGAACGTTGAATTCTATCAGATCTTGTCTTCATCTATCCAGATGGTTATGCGGATTTTTTTTCTGTTAATATGTCAAGATACATTGTTTTTTTTTATTATTATGAAAAAATACATACAAAACTGGCCATTTCAACCATGCCTAAGTGCACAGCTCTGTGGTTTAAGTTCACATTGTTGTGTATCACCACCATCTGTCTCCACCAGAATGGTTTCGTCTTCCCCAGCTGAAACTCTGTCTCCATTAAACAGTAATTCCTCATTCTTATCTTCGCAAAGCCCTCATCAACAACTATTCAACTTTCTGGCTCTCTGAATCTTACTATCCTCGCTACAATATTTGTCCTTTTGTGACTGGGCTATTTCATTTAGCATAATGTCTTCTAGTTTCATCCATGTTGTAACGTGTCAGAACTTTCCTTTTTAAGACTGAAAATATTCTATTGTACATATATACAGCATTCTGTTTATCCACTCATAATAGACACTTGAGTTTCTCCACTTTTATTTTTTAAGTTTTAATATCAAAATAAACCAAGTTAATTAAAATCCTTGGAAAAAGCGGTGAAATGTAGATGTGTCTTTGCTTTCAATCCTATACCCAAATCATGTAAACCTCAAGAGCTTGATTTTAAAATTGAAAGTTTAAATTTGTCAGAGTAAAACACTTGTTATGTGTGAAGTCATAGCGCTATTACCTTACCACACAAATTTGCATAAAGTGTAAGTACCTTTTAGTTTTACTTTTCTGCTCTATTTCCATTATTTGAATTAATTTACATATCTGAAATGTTTATAGGCCTTCACCTAAGCTATTTGATTTCGGGGGGGTCCAGTGAGGTTCTTCTGGCATTCACAATACGCCAAGGTGGAACATTTTTCTATTACCCCATTTTCAAAGAGATGTTCAATGATCAGATTTGTATAACCACTTAACATAACCTAATATAAAGGAATAATGAAAAAGACAATTAAAAAAAATAAGTTTGGGGCCAGCTCCATGGCCTGGTGGTTAGGGCAGCAGAATCCCATATGGCTGGCAGCACTGCTTAAGTCCTACACTAGGATGCTTGAGACACATGCCAGGCACGTGTGCTTGTATGCCCAAAATCCTGGAAGAAGGAAAATATAGACGAGAAGAGGTTGCAGCATGACTGTTCCCCATGGACTACACATTCTCCTCTACCCCTCTTTTTGTCTCTATGAGGAGTCTCTCTGCCCTCAAGTGCTAAAAGAATAAGATTATGTAAAACTTTAAAATAATTCAATTAAGCATTCTATTAAACATTAACATAGAAAGTATTGCCTTTATAAATTGAACTAACAAAATGTATGATTAAGTGATATTCTAGGAAATCTAAATAGAGGCTGACTTGGTACTAATTGCAGAGTATGTCATGTAGGGGTTTATCAGTGAACTCATTTTCTTAGATTCAGTCTCCTTAAGTCCTTAAGCTTTAGCTTTCTATATAATTTGTTTCTTCCTCTAGTGACGACCAGAAGAAATTTCTGTAAAAGCTGTCAAAATCCATTTGTTATGATTACATGAATCACTTGAATTTTTTTAACGTTGTTAAATTTAGGGTGGGAATGTTATATACAGATATACATGCATATGTGCATATGCATATAGTGACCTTTAAAAAATCTAATCTTGAGGATATTTGATAGCTCTGTGGTCCATTGGCTAATTATGTTTTATTAGGCTGGAATGAAAAAGCACACATTATTTTGTTTTGTTTTGTTTTGTTTGACAGTTTTTTTGCCATAGGACACATGCACTCACCAGAAAGACAGAGAGAAACAGAGAGACAGAAAGCAAGAAATTACCCTCCAGGGTGGATGGCCACACCACAATTCCTTTTTCTCCAGTCTCTTCTCAGGATCCTGGTCATGCACACACACATTCTCAGCTTGACTTTAAGCCCCTGGGTCTGGGATTCAAACCATGGACGACGACTTGGGAATCAAGTGATGTAGCCATTATGCCATCTGCTGGTGCCTAAAAGCACAGGTTTTTAGGAAGAGAAGAATGGAAGTATTTTCCTTTCACTTGTTAGGTGCACAAGTATAAACAGACTTAGGAATTTCTCTGCAAATAGTCAGCTTTGAAGAGGGTGATATTCAGGATTCTAGTCTTAATCGGTCTCTGGTTCTCATATACCAGTACAATACACTCAGTATGTTTGCATAACTAGGGGCATATTATGATTGCTATACCAACCAGCTTTATATTGATGCTGAATTAAGATGAGCACTTAGTCTTTAGAGAGAAGTGTGATCCTGTTTGGGGATAGAAGTGCATTTTAAATATATCTGATGGATTTTCCTTTTCCTTTTTCTCTTATTTTTTATAATTTTGTTATAGAGAGAGAGAGAGAGAGATGTGTATGACCCAATCACATGTCTTCCATTCTCCTCTTAGGATTTGGGGCGCACACACATATGCCTGACAATTTTTTCAAGCTACCAGGTCTGGGACTCAAACTACACAGTCAACCATGTGGGATTCAGTTGCCTTAACTATCATGCCACTGGCTGGCCAATTCCTATGAGTTTTCTTTTGTTTTTTAGTTTTGTAATTACACTTTATTGAATACTTTGTGCCAGGCCCTTGGAAAATTGTTCCACATAGATGTTTCTCAATTCTTTAAACAACTCTAAGGGTAAGCATTATAATCCCCCCCCTTTTTTTTTTTTGGGAGAGATTTTCTCTACAGGGCGCGTGCGCTCGCCAGACAGACAGAGAGAGATAGAGAGACAGAAAGCGAGAAATCACTCCCCAGGAGGGATGGTCACGCCGCAATCCCTTCTCCTCCATTCTCCTCTCGGGATCTTGGGCACGCACGTACACGCACCCTGTGTGAGTTTTAAGCCACCAGGTCCGGGACGCGAACCACGGTTGACTACGTAGGAGTCCAGCGACATAGCCATTACGCTAACTGCTGGTTCCCATCCCCTTTTTTATAGATGAGTAATATGAGGCTCTGTGTGAATTTAAGTCAGTCACCTAAGACCATGCTGACTGGAAGTGATAGAACTCATATTTCTAACCAGTTCTTTGGATCTGCATTGTGTAATTTAGGCTGTTACACTATCCATCTTTTCCAAGAAAATAAATGTACAGATCTGACAAGCTCCAGCCTAACATCTAGTTAGTGGATATTATCTTCAAGTTGTTGAAGCCCCCAAATTGTCATTTGGTGAAAGGAATATATAAGATGAGCAAAATGATTTCAGCCTTTGGTTAATAGAGTTGACATGACCTGACGGCCTTAATAGCTGACAGATATGTGAGTTAAATATGGTATGAAAAATGAATTCAGATGTCATGTCAACCATAGCCTATAGTGATATGTCTTAATGAGATGATGAGTTGGATTCCCATTACGAACCTAATTTTATTTTGTGCACACACACATTTTGATTTTAACCTAGCACAGTTGTTTGGTAGGTCTTGATAGGATGGATGACTGACTATACCTGGGCAAACTGGAGTGACTATTGAAACATGTCAGACTAGTAAGAAACCCACCTGAGGGGCCAGTAGGTGGCGTGGTGGTTAAGGTGATGGACTCCCACACGGCCAACTGTAGTTTGAGTCTAAGACCCCGTGACTTGAAAATTACACTGAGTGTATGTGCGTACGTGTATGCCCAAAATCCTGAGAGGAAAATGGAGGAGAGAAGATTGCGGCATGGCCATCTCTCTTGGGGCATGAATTCTCACTTTTTTTCTCTTTTTTCTCTTTTTTCTCTTTTTAGTGAGCACATGAGCCCTATAGCAAAAACCTAACAAACAAAACAAAAAACCCACCTGGGACAAAATAGTGTATAGTTTGATATTTGTTTATTATTTTATGGTAAGCACAGTTAAAAATCATCCGTATGAATCTTAACAGAATATTTAAATACATTTGATCATGCTTCATTTTGATCAGAAAATGATCAGTAGAAGTTTGAATTGCCCATAACCAGGCTCAAAATATTAGACTAGAAACATAATCAGTCATTCTTTAAAATGTTTAAAATATCTTCTCTAATTTGATATTCCGAATATTATATTTGGAAAGACAGTCATTTTTTTAATACATAAAAACCTAAAAGAGAAATTTGTGACTTCCAATAAGAAAATTTTTTTATAAATACCCTGATAACTTTATATCTCTTCTTACCTTGTTAATTATATTATCTTATTTTGGAGAAAACCTTTAGCACTTTGCTTTAAGTGACAGACATTATTTTTGCAATGTTTTAAACACAATTTCAAAGTTTTCCATGGTTCTGAAGAATACATAACACCCTACACAGAGAAAGAATAAGGATGTTAATAGAGTGAATACGTTGGAAAGGCATTTTTGAGGAAGTAATATTGAATAGTGAGAGGGATTAGTTGTGGAAGGGCTGCGGCAGAAGACTGTCAAGCAAAGACTCCCAAATGGTGAGAGACTAACTGTATTTCTGAAAGAATGCGGTTGTGCCTAGAACTCAGGGAGCACAGAGGACATCACAAAGGTAGATTGACTGCTGGCATGGCCCGGTCACAGTGCCCTATAGACTGTGACAAATCAATGAGTTGTAAATTAGCACAATAGGAAACTATTGAAGGGTTGCAACCAAGGGCTAGCTGGAATGTGATTTGTCTTTTTTCAATGGTCTTTGTTTGCTGTGAGACAAAGACCACCGTATTGTCCCTGCATTGGAAGGGACAATATTGAAGCCAGGTGAACAGGTAGGGGGCTGTTGCAAAAAGTCAAGCAAGAGAAGGTGTTGGATTGGTCTAGAATTAGTGTGGAGATGAAGAGAACGATACATGGATTCAAGATAAATATTGGAGATAGAGGTGACAGGACTTGGTGATGGACTAAATACACAGGGTATGAAAAAAGTAGGAATCAAGAATGATGCCAATATCTCTTAATTAAATAATGCAGAAAATAGTGTGGAAGTGCCATTTATCAACAAGAAGTAGACAAGTGAGAAATAAAGGGAGATGAAAAGTTGGAAGTTCAGATTTACACTTACTAAAGTTGTATTTCCAATGAAAAGAGGGAATTATATATCCAAATTGGGAACTCCTGGAAGTTCAAAGATGCAGTGGGAATAGCTTAGAATTTACTTCGTATCAGTTCAGTTGAACACACTGCTCTGCTTTCAGGTTCTGTGATGGGCTCTGGGTATTAAGAATTGTTACAACATTTTAGGTGTGTGTTTAAGTTCTGTGCAATGTTTTTTTTTTTACCTTAGGCAACAGACACAGTAGTTGGTATATAATAGCCACATCATAAATAGATTCCAAATGAACACATGATCTAGAAATAAGATGATTACAAAGACTTTCTTAATTTGTAGAGCTAATTTTTCATTTGTAGTCCTATTTTGATTCTCATAAATGTATAAGAGATGAAATGCTATTATAAAATTGACCCTGAGGGGTGTAGTGATTATGTTGCTGGACTCCTACATGGCTGATTGCAGTTCAAGTCCTAGTCCCAGTAGCTTGAAATACCCTGGGTGCATGCATGCGTGCACTTGTGTGTGTGTGTGTTGTGTGTGTGTGCATGTGTGCCCAGGATCCCAAGTGAATGGGGGAGAAGGGATTGAGGCATGCCCTCCTCCCAATGGGTGATTTCTTATTTTCTCTCTCACTATCTCTTTCTCTCTTTCTCCAGCAAGCACATGTGCCCTAAGGCAGAAACCTCTACAAAAAAATAAACAAATGAATAAGTAAATTAAAAACTGACTTGTTACCACCACAATATTCTTTGTAAGAGAGCTTCATTTATTTAAGGTGGCAATATATCTCATGGTCTAAAATTACATTTCTTCCACAGTGTAGACCTGTTTCTTCTCTAATGTATTCAACATGGTATATTTTTATCTATGTACATTTTCACAAACATTTTTAAATTTTCTTAAAAATATTTTTTTGTTAGAAAAATTTTTCCACTTTTTAAAGTTTGTTTCTTTCATGTAAGAAGAAAAAGAAACATAGACAGAGAGACTCAGCGACATAGGAATTCCTAACATGTTGTGATGCACCCCCAGTTTCAGCCGACTGGATCAAAGGCATGCGTGTGTGTACATCTGCCCACTTGTACCTCACGGAGGTTCTGGTAAAGGAACCCAGGACCTTTCCCGTGTGGGTCCATTTATGTTACGACTTTGCCACTGCCTGGCCCCTCAGGGTTTTTTATTGACTGAAAATGTTACTCCTGTTATTTTATCTATGAATGTGTGGGAACATTAAATTAGAATTAAACTGAATTTGAAAATCATATATTTACTACCTATCCACATTCCTCTTTTCTCATAGGAATGACAGTAAGTGCTAATAAAGATGGGTTGGGCATGATCGTTCGGAGCATTATTCATGGTGGTGCAATTAGTCGAGATGGCCGGATTGCTGTTGGAGACTGCATCTTATCCATTAATGAGGAATCTACCATCAGTTTAACCAATGCTCAAGCACGAGCCATGTTAAGAAGACACTCTCTCATTGGGCCTGACATAAAGTAAGTATCATCTGGACCCCAGTCTAAATGGGACTTGGCTTGGGAACATTAAGAATTTCAATTAATCAGTATATTTATTTTTTCAGTATATACTTCTATTTGGTGTACAGAAATTACTTCATACTTATTTAACATAAGTCACTCAAGAATTTGGGTATTTCTGAACAGTTCTTGATTGTAGATAAAGTCTTTCAAAAGCATAAGAATGTTGAAATTTGTTTTTATCTGCCAGAGGGTGCATGTACTCACAGGAGAGAGAGAGAGAACTCCCCTCAATGGGAGTGTAATCACAAGGCAGTCCATTTTCCTCTATTTCTCCATCCTTTTGGGATCTCAGTCATGCATACACATGTACCCAGTGTGTTTTTCAAGCCAAATCTGGAGTTGAACTGCATGGTTAGCCAAATGGGATCCAGCTTCCTTAACCACTAGGAAACTGGACTATTCAACAGTGTTGAACTTTTAAGACACCATTGCTTCATGTTTTTAATTTTACTTCTCCAGTGATTTCTTTAACAATCCTAGATGTGAGAGATATGAGACATCTCTAACAAAGCAAGAGGGTCTACTCTTAGGATCTCAGAAGAAAGTTTGGATTGGCCTCAATGAAAAGATACTTAACTGACTTTATGAATCCTAGAACTAAGCCAGTTCTTTTTCCTGGAGAGACAGAAAGACAGTAAGAAATACCACCACCACCAGGGGCAGGGAGGGATAGCCATGCTGTAGTCCCTTCTCTTCTCTTTTCCTCTCGGGATTTAGGCATGCACACACAAGTACCCGGTATCAATTTTAAGCTGCTGGATCCAAGACTTGAACCATGATCAACTATGTGGGAGTCCAGTGATGTAACCATTATGCCATCTGTTTATCACCCAAGCCAGTTCTTTAAGGGCCAGGCATGAAAAACTATATAGAGCAATGCCCCTCTGATCCATAACTTAGCCTTGTCATATACTAGCTTATGACCCAAGGGAATTTTCCAGTATGCTGGTAAAGTCTGATTATAAGTCATGCAGAATATTTTGTCAAGAAATACTTATATTTCTTATATTTTGTCAATAAATACTCATAATGTACAAAAAGCAGGTCATATATATTGCTTGGATTTTAAGTCACTAAACATTCCTTGAGCTAACATAAAAATAAGCTCATGACTTTATTGTTACACTTCATCAGTAAGATTTTTTTCTCTAACATTAATCATTGAATATTTGCATTTAATGTAAAATGTATAAAATAATGAGAGTTCAGGGAAAGATTATTTTAAATTGAAGTAATGATTACTAGTATGGAAGATTTTTTTGTATTAATGTTGTTTTTTACTCATTACATTCTTTGTTACTGGTTCTTTTGCAAAGTACATATAGTTAGAGCTTAAGTAATAAAAGCTATATTTACAATCTGTTTTTCATTCTGCTGTCAATATAAAAAGCAGAAAAGTATATACCATTTGGAATAGATTTGGTTGTCTTACATAGAAGAGGTATTATTTTGTAGGCAAAGTCTTCACTAATGAGCTTTCATATTCTTGTATGCCTTTTTTATTTTTATTTTGCAGTTGAGCAGATTATCAGGTCATATTACTCTTCCTTAATTACCTTATAATAATGTGAGAACAAATCATTGAGTAAATGACCGACATCATTAAAAATGTCATCCCTTCTATTGTAAGAATAGAGAAACTTTCAAGGCTTTCCTTACCACTCCTGGCCAGCATTCCTTTTTCCTTACTTAAAAAATGAATAATAGGGGGCCAGCAGGTGGCGTGGTGGTTAAGGTGCTGGACTCCCACATATCTGACCTTGATTGGAGTCCTGGACCTGGCTGCTTGCTTTCTCACGTTCTTTCTTTCTCTCTCTCTCTTTATCTCTTTCTGGTGAGTGTACCCTGTAGCAAATTAAAAATAATAATAATCAATCAATCAATCAATAAATATTTTTTTAAAAAAGATGAATAACATACCCCTCTGTGGAGCCCATTTAGTACAAGGCTTTATGCTCACATAGACTAGTATCAAATGCTGATGGCCTAGTAAGTGATGATTTCATTTCTCGTGTATGATGTATATGTTATGCCCTGTGCACTGATCCAGGTCTCCTGCTCATTTTTTGGCACTCTGAGCACCAGAATAGGTGCTAATCTAGCCTGACCCTTCAGTTTTAATGGTCTGTGGCAGGACTTAAAAAGTGTCCAAGAAATAAGACTACTGTGATATATACATTTGGCATAGGTCATATATCTAGTCAACTCCAGAAATTGTTTGAAGTGTATTTTGAAAATTAAAAAGTCTTGTCTCTCTTTTTCTCATTTTTTGTTTTGTGTGTATGCATGTGTGTGTGTGTGTGGGGGGGTGTTTCCCCCATCTGCCAATTGAACCAGATTTACGTATTGATGTGGGTGGCAGCTTTATTAAGATCTTGAAGGCCATCTAGAGAGCTAGCTCTAGGATTTCAGGAGGTGAAATGTGCTATGAACCTTACATTGAAAAAGAAAGAAAAATCCTACAACCTTCCCTCCTCCGGAAATCTACCAATCAGTCTCTCTTACACAGACATGTACACACACACACACACACAAAAAAAAAACATCAATTTTTTCTCACCATATCCTACTAATGCTCTGATACAGATGGTTTTAGCTTAACTCATTGAGTAAATGATAGAAAGAAATTAAATAATCTATACATAATCCCTTTTCAGAAAAAAAAATTAGATAAAACGAAAATAGTCAGCTATCTATTGTGGCCTGACCAGAGTTGATCAGCCTGTTTTGTGCACTTTGCATACAGTGTTTTTGGCCCTGTCCCATCTTATCATTTGCCTCTCATAAAGCAAAAGATTTAGAATTACCTTGATAGCTCTGTAAGTATTGTCTCAGATGGAAAGTAATCCTTCCATTATTCTGACTGGGACCCTAACATTGCCTCCAGCCAATTGAGCGTTGTACTCATTGCCTGGATCCATCCTTGTATTTTTCTTTGTATTTGTTTAAGAACCTAGTTTAATCTGGGGTAGCAGTGGAGGGGTGTATTGTAGGCACTTAAAAAAAAGATGGTTTCATTACATAACTGGTTTTAGGAGAAGCATTGGCTATTGAGACAATGCACTGAATTTCTTTTTTCTTTCTTTCTTTTTTTTTTTTTTTTTCCATTTATGATAGATAGCTAGGAACTTTGTGTGTGTGCGTTCATGCATGCCTAGGTAGATAATTTGAATTTCAAGAGTTCAAGAACAGCCAGTTAAAGTTCCAGGTTTCATTATTTTCTATGGAAAACCAGATGTGAAACCTCACCAGAATGCATTCTGTCTCACTTCTCACTCCACCTTGCCAGGAGCTCTTATATTTCTGTAATAATAGCCAGGGTTTTTGCGCTTAGCAGCAGCTGCTTATAACATCTGCCAGATAATTACTGAGCTGAATCAGAATTCACCTGCCTTAACCTAAAGTGTGGGATGAATTCCTGATCAAGGAATAAAAGATTGATTGCAGTTACATTTTGCCATGCTTGTTAATAATCACTGCTATAGACACCAGTAAAGAGCAGATGCTTTTCTGGGGGAGGTGTAGATGGGAGGGAGGTGGAAAGGGGAAAAGAAAAAAAAAAAACCAAAAACCCAGGAGCACCCACTTTTAACTACATATGTATGCATCTCACATTCAGCACAAGACATTGACATTTGTTAACACCATTGTAAAAAGATGCTGCGGCGTATGCTTCACATTCTAGATTTTCTGCAGCACCTGCTGACGATCGAGCCCCCTTTTATGTGTGAGTATCGGTGATTCAAAAGCTCATTATGGCTGTGTGTTACAACTTGTCTGTGAAAACCATTTCGTGTTTTTGTAATGTCCCAAAGCAGGGATAGATCCAGATATATAGATTCAGTGTCTATATTTTGGCTTTTTTTCTTCATCTTTGTAAGAGCAAATTCCAACAGAGCTAGGAGACTGTTACATTTTCACATGGCACTGTTGATGGTGAACTCATTTTAAAACCATATTTTCCAACTACTAAGCTTTCGAGCTCCTTTGTGAGGGAATGACCCAGTCTGCACGGGCAGGCGCAGTCCCTGGATTAACAGCCGTATGGCATTTCTGCATCATTAATGGTTTTCTTTTTTTTCTACTCCATGAGTAACCAAAGAAAGGTTAGTTACGTTTAAGAAGTTTTCATGCAGCTCTCAAATGAGCCGGTTCCAGTGTGTTTGTGCAGTCTGTAATTCAGCTTTGGCAATCTTTGTCGGGAATGTGAGGTTTTCGTGTGGTCGTGTGACCAGGCATGAGCGCAATTGCTCTGCGTGTGCTGATGCCTTGTGGGATGCTGGTTCCGGTGGCCTCTCTGCCTATGTCGGGCTGCACAGTCATGAAAACTGCCACCTTTGCTTTTCATTACTGCTGTGCAACGTATCAGAGCAATACTTTCAAACCTCTCTCCCACTACTCTTTGGTAAAAGAAAAAAAAAAAAAGCTTTGAACAAATGCAGAGGAATAATTTATTTTCAACAGTTTGAAGGAGAACGTCTTTACCTTTTTCAAACCAGTTGAAAAATTAAATACTTGGTCCTGATTTTTACTTTCACTATTGTGTCCTGTATTCCTTCCCTGTCATCATTGCTCAGCTTTATAAACTTAAGATTTTATGTGGATGTGTTTTGCTAAATCTTCAGAAATAATACCAGTCTTTTGAATAGGTTTCCGATCTTGGGATGTATGTTTACTTTTCTCTGTGTAAAATGTAATCAGTTTTCTTTTTTAACAAAATGTACATTTTGATTCATTATTTTTTCAAGAAAGAAAAGCAAATTTGCTATTCAATCTATTTCATAATATCTTAGAAAAGATATTTTATGGATGAATAAATTAAATAGGGCCAGAATTAGAATACATCTCTCTCAATCAGCCTAGTCCTAAATCTGTTGGTTTGTGCTTTCTGTTTTATTTTTTGATTCTAGAAGGACAGTCATGAAGAGATTCCCAACGAGTACACATATTCTGTCAGCGTGATTAGTGTGGTCAGGAGAGTTGATGTCCTGTTAGGGCACTGTCCTACATTTCTGTTGTGCTTCTCAGCCCATGGTAGCCTTATACAAAGTGACATCTTTTTTGTGATCGAGGGGATGGAGGGTCAGCAGTGGTTATTTACCTCCTACAATACTCCGGATGGCCGCAGAACTGTCTTCTCACTCTAGACTCAAGTGAGAAGTGAGAGAGCGAATGCTTTCTTTGGAATAACCAATATATTTGAAATAATTTATCCTTCTCACTCGATAAATGATGCCAGTGGCTTACTTTTAATCTTATTATAATGTAAAAGACTATCCTTTTATTCTTTACCTCCAGTGCTGAGGTTCTACATAATTATCATCTTAATGCATAAATTATGGATATGATTTTTTGTATTGTGCATTTTTATACAAACCTTTTTGTACCTGCACAGGCATGATGTTCTCACTTCAAATAAAATATTTCCCTTACCATACTAGCCATTAATTTGAGAATCTTGGCACAGCCTACCTACCAGTATATCAACTTTGTAAATAACCATAGAGGACAGCAGTAAAACATGAATTTTCCAATATTGGCTTTAAACCTTACACCGTAGTCAGCATATAGCACAGCACATACAGTAGTCAGTCAGTACCTGCTGAATTAATAAGTGACTATTCAAATGTAAACAATAGGGCTTTTTTTTGAAGCAAAAGTGAAATTTAAAGAAATTGCTGTAATAAGAATCTTTCCATAAAATCAAATGTTACCTTCATACTTCAGACTTGAGAGTTCATAACTTAACAGAGCTTATTACTGATAATGTATGTTAATATCTATAATTAATTATGTATTATGGAAAGATATAATTTTCAGTATTTGGTGTTTTTAATAGAGTATGCCGAATTTGGTTCTGCTAGGAAACCCAAAATCTTGGGCAAAGTAATGTTATTACTGACAAGTATTGTTCTAAAGTTTATAGATCATTCTTTCTTTTTCTATTTTTAAGAGTTTTTTTTGCCATAGGGAATGTGTGTTCACTGGAAAGAGATATTGAGAGGGAAAGTGAGATATAACCCCCATAGGGAATGGCCATACCTTAATCCCTTCTCCTCTCTCCTCCTGGGATTTTAGGCATACATGCAAATGCACTCAGTGTGACCTTTGAGTCACTGGGTCTGGGACTCAAACTGCAGTTGCCCATGTGGGAGTCCAGTGACATAACCACTATGCCACCTGCTGGCCTCTTATAGAGTGTTCCTTTTTTTTTTTTTTTTTTGAGAGGTTTTTGTCATAGGGCATGTGTGCTCACCAGAAAGCAGAGAGAGACAGAGAGACAGAAAGTGAGAAATCACCCCCCAGGGGGCATGGCCATGTCGCAATCTCTTCTCCTCCATTCTCCTCTTGGGATCTTGGGCACGCACGCACACGTGCCCAGTGTGAGTTTAAGCCACCAGGTGTGGGACTTAAAACACAGTCGGCTACATGGGGGTCCAGTGACACAGCCATTATGCCAATTGCTGGTCCCAGAGTGTTCTAATTTCTAAAAACAAACAAAAAAAATAAAAAAAGGAAAAGAAAGAAAGGTCAATTAGCCTTCTCATTTAGAAATGTAAATAATGCTGCTTTCCTCTCATATAATTTTTGTTAAATACGTAAGTTATCAGCAATATTTAAAAATTCAGTTTCTGTTGTTATTTTTGCCTATATAATATTTTATCTTTTTCAAGACTGTATGTTCTTCTGATTCTATGCTGTATTTTATACTGATTAAATGAATTGTGTGAAAAAGTAGGGAAGAAAGGATAATATATCACTTTTTTCATTTGTAAGCTTTTCCCAATAACTAGGCAAAACTTTGTTACACTTTGATTTCATGGATTTTTTTTTGTTTCAGAATTACTTATGTGCCCACAGAACATTTGGGAGAGTTCAGAATCAGCTTGGAACAACAATCTGGAGGAATAATGGCACTGGATATTTTTTCTTCTTACACTGGCAGGTAAGTGAAACACTTATGTATACTGCAGGGAATGAATGAATGAATGGCATAGACAGTTATGTAGAAGAATGTTGAATCTCAAGTAAGGAAGGACTAGGGCAAAGCAAAATCCGAATTTCTTTTCTCCTTCTAAGATAAAAATATTCTTTCCTTTAGTGATTCACTTATTATATAATATGGAAAATTTGAAAGATATATGTTAATTCAAATGAAGAAATTAAAATGTTCTTTAATTCTGCCATCCAGTATAACACTTTCAACATATTAAGCTTTGGTAATTCATCCCAGATATGAATATTATTTCATTAATTCCTTAGAACCTACAGTTTGTACGGTGTTATTTTCCCTCTTTTATAAGTATTATCAAATATCATCAGAAATGTGTCCATTCCTTTATTAATGGACATACAGACCTAGAAACATTTTTAATAGCTATATTTATACTCTTTTGAAGAATACTGAACTGAACTTCTTTGTATAGATGCATTTTAGGAAACAGGATGTTGAATTTTGGAAGATTCTTCATATACATTTTATTGAGGAACGACTATCACTTTTTCCCTCTTAGGAAAAGCAGGAACTGTGTTTTGATGCTGTGCTGAGTTCAAAGCAGGGATGAAAAAAATGTCAATTTGTTTTTTCATGAGGGATATAATATTTAACTCTCTCATTACTGACCTGATCTCTTCTGATGTACTGTAACTGGATACTAGATTTTTCTTTGAACATGCAATCAAGCACAAATGGCTTGGCAAACATTCTACCATCTTAGAAGAGTTCTACCATTTCTTAGAGGATGTGAGAACATCTCAGAACCACTAGTCCATGACCCTGCAGTCATCCCGACATGGCATCACTGTTTTCTTTTTCAAATTACACATGACCACAGTATACAGAAAGTGTTAGAGAAGGGAAAGGTATATTACTTGTATAATATAGGAAAGGAATGCCATGGTCCTTGGGGCCTCATGTATTTTATTGGGAAAAGAGTATTTACTCTGCCCTGTACAAAACTCAGCTATACTCTCTGCTCAAGAATTTCCATCTCAGGGTGAATGGCCTGGATTGGTTATAATACTTTCCCAGTATTTCCTATTAAAATGGTAAAAACATCCATCCCAATGTTCCTCTGAAATGTTATTTCAAATGACTTCATTGAAGAATATGCCAGGTGACATATTAGTCCTAATTAAGTTCTGGAGCCTTGAAGAACTTTAGTCAGAAAATCACTGAGCACTGTATTTCATTCCCAGCATGGAAAGGAGATTGGCGTGAATTCTTCACTACTCGGACTAGCTGCTTCCCTGCCGACAAAGTGTATTTGCTATCTACACAAAACCAAATGATCTGCGTTTTATAGAAAAAAGTCTGTAGCAGATGAAATTAAATAACTCGCCCAAGTTCCACAGTTAATAAGTGTGGGAGCCTAGCTTGGAATGTAAGCAGTCAGACTGTGTTCTGAATCAGTGGATCCAAAGAGAGAATTGCACAAGTTCACATAATATGTGTCATGTAACACTATGTTGCAGCATAGTATGGAGGTGGAGGCCTTCAATTCAAGTCTCACCTCTGCCACATTACTCTGTATGCAGAATTAAAGAGAGTTAGCTATAGTAGATGATAGAAATTCCATTGGTATTCAACAGTATAACATAAGTGCAAAGAAGTCTAGTTCTTCCTTGGCTGAGTGAGTGCAGGAGGAAGAGAAATGGTCCTTTCTGCTCTCTGGATCATGTGACACATGAGTCTCTGAAATCATGTTCTCAGAAAGATGAACAATAAGCACAAGAGGAGCATATCTCGGCTAGTGTAAGCCTTCAATATTAAAGGATCACTTGAAGAGATTGAGGTTCTTTGTTAGAGACTGATTCAGGTTATCCGTCTTCTTGTAGCCAAAAAGGCAAGAGCAGGAAGCAGTTTGTCCCAGAATATTTTTAAGTAATTCTCATCTCCTAGGCTTTAGGGCCAAGAACCTGCCCCATCCCAAAGCTGTCAGATTATTGTATGGATTCTTTCTAAGTTTATATTCTTGTATGTCTTCCACATCTGTTTTTTTTTCCATCATCTCTCCAGTTGTACTTCCTGAGGGTTAAGCCTAGTTTTCAACTCTCTGCCTTACTTACTCTGGATGAGTGCTTCACTTGGACTTTCTATTTCTCAGTCAGCTCATTGACATTGTTTTCAAAATACCCTTCTTGCCTTTGTTTCCAACAGGCGAGTACTCCTGTTTATCTGGACTCTTGGAATCTCAGTCTTGTTCCAGAGTCTTACTCTTCAATTGGCACAATTTGGTCTAGACTTGGAATCTCAGCCTTGTCCAGACCCTTATTCTCAATCTGCATAGAAACAAACAAACAAAAATCTGTCATTCAGGTCAAAGAATGAATGAGACATTCAGGAAGAGCCTGGAGAGTTGCTTGCCAAAAATGTAGTGAAGCACATTCAAGCACAGATGGATTACTGGGTTAGATGCCTTCTGATCTCAAAATCTAAAGATAATATAATTTGAGAGAGTTCAATATTGCTGTCAGTGGAGACTGGCTATAATTTGAACATCAATGTTTCTTAGATTTTCAGTTTCAATAAAAGCCAACTGAAAACATTTTTTTGAATCAGAATTCTTACAGTCTTCCTTGCTTTAAAAGGAATATGTAGACATGTTCTTTAGAAATCTAGGTTTTACCAATGGTGTAAGGACACACTGTAATTAATCATTCTCTATTGCCCTTAAAAAGTCATGTGGATGCACAATAGATCTTTGTAAAAATAAAATGTTACTTGATATAGTTCTGGTACAGTTTTATTTATGCCCAGTCAACAAATGATATATTTTGTTACGTGTTTGGCATTTGGAAAAATATCAGTTGCTGTGGAAATTGAATAGTGACCTTGAACATGTATACATTGTAAACTGATTCCTGCAAGAAATATTCAGTGTCTGGGTCCTCTAAGAGGAGCTGAGGTTGGACCATACACATTTTCCATCATTCTTCAAAAGCAGAAGAGAAAGCATTGGACCTTCCTTAGGACAGGCTAAACTCCTAACATACTTGATACATTCCTTCAAGGCAGGATTGCATGCTTATAACTCACATGCTACCTCTAGATTTTTGCACAAGTTAGGGATTTAAGAAATGCTTGTTGAATAGTTTTTCTTTAAAATCTGCTATTCATGCCCCCTTTTCCATTTCTATCCTTCATTTTTCATGTTTCAG